CCAGCCAGTGGGACGGCTCGCGGGCTCCGTTCCAGCGCTCTCCTCTCTGCCATCGCTGGGTTAATGGGGAATGGAAAGTGCTTGGATACGCTGGACCTGGCTAAACCAGGGCCTGCTTTCTGAAATGCTAACCAAGTGCCACATGCATTTTAGTAAGGCATTTGATACGGTCTCGCATGATATTCTTATTGATAAACTAGGCAAATATAACTTAGATAGGGCCACGATAAGGTGGGTGCATAATTGGCTGGATAACCGTAGTCAGAGAGTTGTTGTTAACGGTTCTAAATCCTGCTGGAAAGGGATAACAAGTGGAGTTCCTCAAGGGTCTGTTTTGGGACCCGTACTGTTCAATATCTTCATCAATGATGTAGATATTGGGATAGAGAGTACTCTTATTAAGTTTGCAGATGATACCAAACTGGGTGGGGTTGCAACTTCTTTGGAGGATAGGGACATAATTCAAAATGACCTTAGCAAGTTAGAGAAATGGTCGGAGGTAAACAGGATGAGGTTTAATAAGGAGAAATGCAGAGTGCTCCACTTAGGAAGGAACAATCAGTTCCATACATACAAGATGGGAAGCGACTGTCTAGGAAGGAGCATGGCGGAAAGGGATCTAGGGGTCATAGTGGACCACAAGTTGAATATGAGTCAACAGTGTGATGCTGTTGCAAAAAAAGCAAATATGATTTTAGGTTGTATCAACAGGTGTGTTGTAAGCAAAACTCGTGAAGTCATTCTGCCGCTCTATTCTGCACTAGTTAGGCCTCAGCTGGAGTACTGTGTCCAGTTCTGGGCGCCACATTTCAAGAAAGATGTGGAGAAATTGGAAAGGGTACAGAGAAGAGTGACAAGAATGATTAAAGGTCTAGAGAAGCCTATGAAGCCAGGCTTCATGAACTGGGCTTGTTTAGTTTGGAAAAAAGAAGATTAAGGGGGGACATGATAGTGGTTTTCAAATATCTAAAAGGGTGTCACAAGGAGGAAGGTGAAAATTTGTTCCTCTTGGTTTCTGAGGACAGGACATGGAGTAATGGGCTTAAAGTGCAGCAGGGGAGGTTTAGATTGGACATTAGGAAAAAATTCCTAACTGTCAGGGTGGTCAAATATTGGAATAAATTGCCAAGGGAGGTGGTGGAATCTCCCTCTCTGGAGATATTTAAGAACAGGTTAGATAGACATCTGTCAGGGATGGTGTAGACGGAGCTTGGTCCTGCCTTGAGGGCGGGGGGCTGGACTCGATGACCTCTCGAGGTCCCTTCCAGTCCTATGATTCTATGATTCTATGCTCACCCTGGCGCTTACAGCCTGCTGCTCCAGACTGGTTCCCGGTGCCTGCTTATTGAGGGGTAGTGAAAAGACGGATCCGTGCAATGTCAGCCACCCGGACTTCTGCCCCTTCCAGGCAGGCAGAAAAGCCATAATCATCCTTGCTGGAGGAAAGGTCAGGGAGGCGGCAGATGTCCCCGGGCCAGCCACACGCACCAGTGGATCGGGAGCAGGAAGCGACACGTGGCAAGGTACCCGGGTGCCAGGGCAGGGCTTGCTGAGCCCAGCACACAGTCCCAAAGATTCCAGCCCCAGCTAGGCTGCTGACGAGGGTGAGTGCAGCTGTCTGCAGTGTCTCTTGAAACCCAGGGCTCTGGCTCTGAGGCTGGCAGTGCCCCAGTGGGACTGCAGCCTTCTCGTGTAACTGCACGCTTGGCCTGTCTGTCCCCGCGTGCGCCAGGGGGCCTAGCACAGGAGTGGGGGGTGCAGGGACTGAAAGGCTTAGCAATCGCCTGGAGAAAGGTCAGGTCTGGCCTCTCCCACCACAACTTGAGCCCATTGCTCCTTGTTCTGCATCTGTCACTACTGAGAACAGCCTCTCTCCATCCTCTTTGGAACCTCCCTTCAGGAAGTTGAAGGCTGCTCTCAAATCCCCCTGATCTAGATGGCGCTTGGTCCTGCTGTGCGGGGGGCTGAACTTGCTGACCTCTCGGGATTCCTTCCAGTTCCAGGATTCTCTGATTCTGTAGTTCCCAGTCTGCTTTCCCAAAGCTGCCCGGGCAGAGGAGGAGTGTAGCTGTACTAGCCTTTGTGTTGGAGCTGTTTGGTCAGTTGACGCAGCGCTCCGTGACAGTGGCAGCCAGTGAAGGGCCTTTCTGCTTTGCTAGACCATTGCGTCCAGGATCACTGCCTGGATCAAGTGCGCGTGCTGTGAGCCGGTGAGTGTAATCACCCCTTTGACTAGCGCACAAGCCTTGTGGCCCAGGTGTCGATTCAGGATAGCTGCTGGGCCGCTCCCTGGTTGGTCATCCATCCATCCCTCCGTTCATGTTCCATTGCAGCAGGCCCGGGGGGATGCTGGCTCCGGTACAGCCGTGTTGCATGCCGCACAGCCACGAACTCCGGGTGCTGCTTCCAAGTGACCCACCCTCCTTTTTTGCTGTCGGAGTTTTTGGCAAGAAGGAATTTCGAGGGCGGGGCCTGTGGTTCCTCAAATACTGGCACGCGAGCATGGAATGCCAGAGCCAGGCAGAGACGGGTTAGGCAAAAAATGTCAACAGCCGTGCCCTTGGGCACACACGGACTGAGAGCAACGCCTCTTGAGGGACACAGTTTACCAAGGTGGGTGACTGGTTTTTCTTCCTTCCAACCAGCTGACCATTGCGACTACCATGTTCATTGGCGCCTCTTTCTGCTGATCTGCGCACACAAGCAGAGGGGCTGTGAAGCTGGTGTGCCCTTGGTGTGTTTTCCAACTGAGCTGTTGGATGTTGTGCTCCAAGAATCTGGAAAGAGAGCTCGGCGCCTCATCTCGGCTGGATTTCTCCAGATACTTCCTGGAGAGCTGAGCCTGTGCACTCTGTCTGCAGCGCTGATTCTGGAGGCTTCGGGTCTGGCAGGGTCACTCCTTTCCAGGGGAAGCCATGCTTCCAGCACCTCTTTCTTGGGTCCCGGAGGAGCCGAAGAAGACGTGTTTCCCAGCACTCCTACTTTCCAAAGAGTTGCTATAAGGCTCATCTGATTATGAACTTTTCCAACCTACACCCCTCATCCTGTGTTGGGGGTACGGCTGCTCTAGCTCTCCGGTGAAAGGGCTGACGTTGTTCTTGGATCCCATCAGAGAACAGCATCAAAAGACGGTTGATGGTGGCTCTGTGTCCCAGGGAGACTCCTCAGCCTGTGGGTGAGAGGAGGTGAAGCTACGGGGTCTGCGCCACGTTAAATGCCTGCGCTCTGCTTTGTGGTCCATAAGAGCATTGGAGCTTCCCGTTTGCTCTGCTATAAAGCCATTGGCACCAAGCTCTGGGGCTGGCGTTTGTAGCGGGTACAAGCAGAGCCTGTTCTGCGCCCAGCTACCCACGCTCCAACCAAAGCGCAGCGACTTGCTCGTGTTCTTTGTTGTCAGCATCACGATCAGCGTGTTAGCAGCAAATCTGGCAGGTTACAGCCTGCAAAGTGCAAGCTTAAAGGAAAGTGTAAACTTCAATTAATGAATCCACAGTTTTCTTAACACCTCTTCCCGCCTGTCTCCCGCGTCTTCACATAAATAGTGGAGTGCCGTTCCCAGGATTGCATTGCTCTCTAATCTGCAGCACCTTGCGTGTGGGAAGGCCGTGAGAGCATCGTATGGATGAAATCTTGGGCAGGGGGTAGGTAGTTCTGCATGTGACCTATGGCTCTGCCTTCTCTAACCTGGACAACTCTCATCCACGTACAAAGCCGCTTGTGAGCTCTGTCGTTCTGGGACACACCTGCATGCAGAACAGCTGTTCAGGAGGAATGCCATCGTTCTCCAGGCGTGCTTCTGTGAAAACACGGTCCAGTCCGTGTAATTCCAGGCTGGAAGGTGTCTGATCATCCATTGGCAGGGGAAGGGACACACTGAAAAGCCAGTGAAATCTCACGGTCCTGTTTGCTCTCAGCTGGTTATGGAGCTCTGGCCATCTTGTCAGCTTAGATTGTAAGACCTGCGGGGGAGGGACTGTCCTCTTGTTTGTACAGTGCCTGGTACAGCGGGGTCCTCTTAGTTCAGAACAAGCCCCCCATGAACAGGTCAGGTCCTTCTGATCCCTCCTAGGAAGGTCTGGGGCCTGGGGCTGGTCGTCTGGATCTGAAAGCCGGCCCTGAGTCTGTTAAAACTCACGCTGTTGAGCCACACGTCTGTGGAGAGTCCGCTCTGAGCCAGAGTACGCAGCCTCTTGAAGTGAGTTTGCCATGTCACCTCCACCCCACTGTCCTTGCTTCCCAAGGGCTTTGGGCCCCCGCCCCATGGAGTGACACACGGTCCCGGGCTCAAATGAGACGCAAACGTCCTTCACTGAGGCTATGGCAGGGAATTACCATGCCTGGCCTAGGGGCTCTGCCCATTGGAAGCTTTGGGGACTGCTGCTAGGTCTGTAATTTGGATCCGATATTGGAGTCTGCCGAGCTGGGATGACCGCACTGCACTTACAGATGGGCTGCTGCACATGGTGTCATGGACTCTCCTGTGGACAGCGAGGAGCAGCTGGACTGGCTGGCAGGAGGGTCTAGCTCTAGTTCAGCTTGGTCAATGCGCTCATCTCTGCACAGCTCAAACCTCTCTGGTCCAGGCAACGTCCGCGGTCCAGCAGGACCAGAGAGCCCCAGCTTAGGGCAGTGGAGTCTGGGCAGCACTGGCAGCTTTGGGGCGGAGGAGCCTGGCCATCTGCTGACAGACCCCAGGAGAGCCCAGAGGAACCCCCCTCTCCGGGGCTGGCAAATTCCCTCCTGTTGGGCCAGGGAGGGCCCGGGGGGGCTGGGCCAGGGAGGGCCAAGCTGAATTGAACTATTTTGTCTTGCCTGCAGCTGAGGGGCAGATAATGCTGCTGCTAACACTGGCTTTCGGGAAGCTCCCATTAAAGGTTAAGGGCAGGAGCTCGGCTTTCAAGGGCCCCTAAGGGAGTAGGTGAAGTTCAGAGGGAATAGAGGCCTGATTCTCCTACGCTACTGGGCACATGGCAGGCACGGTGGTGCCTCATTTTGTTTCCCCTTGGGGTTTGTAAGTCTTCAGCTCTTGCCTGATGGGAGGCTGAGCATTACCCAGCCTGGACCAGAATCTGAGCTGCCGGCCTGGTGGCCCTACAAGAAACCATTCAGTAAAATTGCTTTGGGAGAGCAGAGTCGCTTTGAGCTCCAGGCGTGAGCGCCCAGGCAAGTGACGTGTTCCCGGCAGGTTTCTGTGTTCCCATTTGGGGTGGCATGCGCAGTCCGGGCACGGGCTGGAAGGGGCGTCTCAGAGAACAACTGCAAGAGGTAAGTGACTGCTGAAGTGGTTCACCAAGACTCAGCAATTTTCCAGCGGTCTGCCAGAAGAGCTTGAGAGCCACTGTTCTAGTGACTGGCTGGGGGTGCACCTGTGGATTGTGGAGGGGTGTGTGTGTTGGTGGGACAGGTCTCAGTGGAAGTGAAGCTGTGGCTACATGAGGAGCGGGTCTGTGCAGAGGTAGCACTGATTTAACTATGTTTAAAAACTGATCCCAAGCTGCGTAACCTCCCATGGGGATGTAGCTCTCTTGGGATAAAGGTGCCAGACGTGTGGAAATAACCTAGCTCTAAGCATCGTAGAAGAGAGACCACGGGATCGTGCCTAACTCCTCTCCCAGACTCACTGCTGCTCTTGTTCCCAGGCCTTGGCAGGCGTGGGCGTTCCAGCGCAGGGACATCCGCGCTCGTCGCTGTGTTCCGTAACTTGTTCTCCTTCCTCTCAGGAGTGAAAGGCATGGAGTGCTCCCCCGCCACCCCCACCATGAACTCCTACTTCTACAAATTCATGATCAACCTGCTCAAGAGGTTCAGCACTGAGCGGAAGCTGCTGGAGACCAGAGGAGCCTTCATCATCAGGTCAGTTCAGTCTTCCTCCGTCTCTTTCACAGACCACAGCTTGTGCTAAGCCCATCTCTCTAGAGGGTAGGTGGCATTGTACCCTGGCTCTTGCTGGGTTCTTTGTGGCCAGAGACCCCTCTGCCAGGCGTCGTGGTTGGCATTTTGAGAGCAAACAAATTCATTTTTCACATGTTGAGACACTGTGTCTGTCACTCCTGTCCCCTGCGCTTGTGTCCCTGTTCTGCTGAGAAACTAAGGGACCAGTGGAAATGTGGAACAGGCTACTCTGGGGTGTGCGGCCCTCTGTCCTTTGGAGCAGGGTGCAGTGTGGTGGTGTCCTTGTGGGCATTGATAGCGCTGTCATTATGAGGCACGTACACCCCACAGCTGGCACCCTGAGGCACAACTGGTCACTTGAAGAGTCTGCTTGCAACTGGGAAGTGACCGGAATTGTGGAGTCAGCATCTGGGGCTCCTGTGTGGTTGGATTTGTGTTTCCAAGGAGCTGTGATGAAAACCATGCTGCGCGATGCACGGCTGACAGGATGTAACCCTTAGGGCATCCGGTCTGGGGCAGGGGCAGCCTGCGCTGCTGTGCTCGCTCAGAAGCAAGCCACATGAAGGTTCGAGGGAAGGCGGAGGGGGATTCAGTGGGGGTGGAGTCCAATTGTGTTTCCTTCGTTGCCTGGATAAGGTGGCTCCATTGAGGTGAGCTTGGCCTCCGATCCGATGCAGGGCAGCATGGAGCCTCTATTCCAGGCCGCGCCCTGTGGCAGGGGGAGCGAGGCCCGAGGCAGGCTGGCTGGGATCATTGCCAAAGGTGCAGGGTTAAATGTGCCGCTTGTGAGGGGTGTAGGCGCCGGAGCCCGGCTCACTGGCCGCGTGTTGCCAGGCACACCTAGCTCTGCCGAGAGTCCAGCAGCAGGGAGTCTGCAGACAGGCTGAAACGGCTGGGAGAGGAGCCCCCTCTTTCGGCGCTGGGGCAGTTAGGGCTGGGGGCTGCCATTAGCTCTCCGTGTTGCATGTTCTGCTCAGAGTTAGCGGGGAAACGTCCATGCACTCCCAGCGCGGGTGGGGCACGAGTGCTACCGCTCTCCTCCCGCCCCAGGCTTGGTAAAGCTCTCCGTTCCAGGAGGTGTCTCATCTCAAGCATTGCGGGAGGAATGTCTTTCCCAAAGGCCGGGGGGCACTTGCTGCTGGCCGTCTCTTGGAGAAGTTGGTACTCTGGGGGTTTCTGTAACAACAGGTGTTTTCTCTCCTCCCTGCCGTCCACTGGGAATGGCGGAAGTGGTCCTGTTTGAGTCGGGGGCCAGCTGGAGAGCAATGCCAGGGATGGGACTGTGCCGCTTCCTGTCACATTCCTGCCAGCTGAGCTGTTTTGCGTGGGGGGAATGGCACGGGGAGCCAAGGCTCCTGCATGCGGGCTAGCTGCGCCGTTTCCCATCGCCCAGCAGAGCGGAAGCTGGGCCAGGTCACGGCCGCGCCGCACGCCAGTGCTTTTCCTGGGGGCGTGCTCCAGCATCCAACCTCCGACTGACAGAGAAGTGAAGTCCCCAGCCCTTCAGGCAGCAGAGAAAATGTTCACGGCGTGACTCATGTCACCAATACAGCCTGCAGACAGCACGATGCGCTAGCTGGGAGAGGTATGAACTTCCCCATTGATCTCAGGAGGTGCTGTTTCGAATGGCAGAACGAACTGTTTCTCTGATTAAAGCAAGTGAGGGAGGAAGGGAGTTTTCTGAACTGTCAGGGCTTGATCTGTTGCGCCCAGTCCCTGGTGTTGTCTTTAGTGCAGTCCTTTCAGATTTGTTTTCAGGGGATTGGTTTCAGCAGCTGTCTGAAGCACAGCCGGTTGCTTGACTGTGCTTGTGATTTGGTGCTTAAAATGTTCAAGAAACCCCGTAATTCACCTCAGCGTAGAGGGTTCCTTGCAGTGCAGAGCCTTGCAGAATTTCAAATGGACGCGTGGACCCTTTGGAAATCTGAGACCCGGTCTGCAGGCCCCTCGCCGAAAGCCACTGCCTCAGCCAATTCACCGTGCAGCAACAAATCTCGACACTAGTGCACGCAGCAAGCTAATGCTTTCCCAGCCCTTGTAGGAAGCTACCCGTTCATCCTGCACAGGTGTGCGCCAACCCCGCTTCTCAGACTAGCCAGATTTGTAGAGGGACGCTCTCCACATGCCCTAAGACTGAAATCCACAAATCGGCTCTTGCCCCTGCTTTCCTTTATCAGCCTATTCCTTCCTTCTCTTGCTGTGGACTCCACATTGCAATAGGAAGTGTGCTGGGGAGGCGGTCGGGACCCAGACAAGGACATAGAAGGAATGGATCTTGTCTCCACAGCTTTGATATTTGCCCGTACCGAAGTGGAGGTCAGTTTGGGATAGTGTGGGAATTGGGTTAGCATAGCATCCCGATGCTTGCGTGGGCTATGTACCAAGGTTAATGTTGTCTGCATGGGGCGTGGTGTGTGTCATACCTACTAACATGCGGAGCAGCGCGCGTGTGTTGGCTACCGTTCCGTGTGCTCCTGCTGCTGCCTGAAGTGCTGGCGTCCTGCCGGCTCTGGCTGGGGTGACAGCAGTGCTGGAGTGTGTGATGGACAAGCAGTGTCTCTGCTAGCTGGCAGTAGGTTGTGAGATTGACCAAAGCAGTTCCCACAAGTGAATCCTTAATAATTGGTTTCCCCAGTGATCTCCTCTTGACCTGTGAGCTGAGCTCCAGGGATCCGCTAACTCCCCATCTCTTAGACGGAGCTAAGATGCTTTCTAGCCCGTGTCAATGAACCGAACGCGCTGCTGCAAGGAAGAATAAGCGAAGAAGCGCGAGGATTGTTTCAAGTAAGCTTGGCAGTGAGCCCGCCGGGCAGCGTTCAGCTCGAGGAGCAGTGAGCAGGAGGCCACGTCAGGCTTACTGCAAGTTAGCATGGCAAGAGCTGGGCTCAGAAGATTAGCAGGATCTGTCTGGTGATAAACTGGAAAGCCAGGATTTAGGCTCAGTTCCCGGACCGCATTGTGGAGAGCTTTGTCTGCGCACATGCTCACTGCAGTTGGAATCCCAGCCTGGGATCGCAGGAGCGGCAGGCCTGCACCAGGGCCAAGGCCCAATGGGTACAGGCTGGGAGTCGCAGCTTAAGTGCGGAATGGTTCCCAATCCACAGCGGGTCCTCGGGAAGCAGGATGGCAGCAACCTCAGTGCTTCACCTCGTGGGGGCAGCCATGGAGCTGCTAGGAGCGGCCCAGGAGACGTGGGGTCTATTGCTGCCAGCACACAGGTCGCCAGATTGAGCCGCTTTCCAGTGGGGCCGGTGTTCTACCTCCTGGGATTGCTCCGTGATGCGCACGTAAACCCAGGGCCCGTGAAGGGGGGTGCACACTGCCTGCACACAACTGACTGCGCTGCCCCGCCCCCCTCGGGCGCTGCTCCCGTTCAGTCGGCTCCCCCGCACACGCTAGGGATGCAAGTGCAGTGAGCAAAACCAGTCCTGCAGCCCCTCGCTGGCCTTGCTCCCCAGCTCTGCCAGCGCCCGCCAGTCCTGCAACGCCGCCTGCCTTCCAGTCCAGCTCCCCGGCCCCGCCCAGCTCTGCCAGCGCCCGCCAGTCCTGCAACGCCGCCTGCCTTCCAGTCCAGCTCCCCGGCCCCGCCCAGCTCTGCCAGCGCCCGCCAGTCCTGCAACGCCGCCTGCCTTCCAGTCCAGCTCCCCGGCCCCGCCCAGCTCTGCCAGCGCCCGCCAGTCCTGCAACGCCGCCTGCCTTCCAGTCCAGCTCCCCGGCCCCGCCCAGCTCTGCCAGCGCCCGCCAGTCCTGCAACGCCGCCTGCCTTCCAGTCCAGCTCCCCGGCCCCGCCCAGCTCTGCCAGCGCCCGCCAGTCCTGCAACGCCGCCTGCCTTCCAGTCCAGCTCCCCGGCCCCGCCCAGCTCTGCCAGCGCCCGCCAGTCCTGCAACGCCGCCTGCCTTCCAGTCCAGCTCCCCGGCCCCGCCCAGCTCTGCCAGCGCCCGCCAGTCCTGCAACGCCGCCTGCCTTCCAGTCCAGCTCCCCGGCCCCGCCCAGCTCTGCCAGCGCCCGCCAGTCCTGCAACGCCGCCTGCCTTCCAGTCCAGCTCCCCGGCCCCGCCCAGCTCTGCCAGCGCCCGCCAGTCCTGCAACGCCGCCTGCCTTCCAGTCCAGCTCCCCGGCCCCGCCCAGCTCTGCCAGCGCCCGCCAGTCCTGCAACGCCGCCTGCCTTCCAGTCCAGCTCCCCGGCCCCGCCCAGCTCTGCCAGCGCCCGCCAGTCCTGCAACGCCGCCTGCCTTCCAGTCCAGCTCCCCGGCCCCGCCCAGCTCTGCCAGCGCCCGCCAGTCCTGCAACGCCGCCTGCCTTCCAGTCCAGCTCCCCGGCCCCGCCCAGCTCTGCCAGCGCCCGCCAGTCCTGCAACGCCGCCTGCCTTCCAGTCCAGCTCCCCGGCCCCGCCCAGCTCTGCCAGCGCCCGCCAGTCCTGCAACGCCGCCTGCCTTCCAGTCCAGCTCCCCGGCCCCGCCCAGCTCTGCCAGCGCCCGCCAGTCCTGCAACGCCGCCTGCCTTCCAGTCCAGCTCCCCGGCCCCGCCCAGCTCTGCCAGCGCCCGCCAGTCCTGCAACGCCGCCTGCCTTCCAGTCCAGCTCCCCGGCCCCGCCCAGCTCTGCCAGCGCCCGCCAGTCCTGCAACGCCGCCTGCCTTCCAGTCCAGCTCCCCGGCCCCGCCCAGCTCTGCCAGCGCCCGCCAGTCCTGCAACGCCGCCTGCTTCCGATCCCAGCTCCCCGGCCCCGCCCAGCTCTGCCAGCGCCCGCCAGTCCTGCAACGCCGCCCGCCTTCCGGTCCAGCTCCCCGGCCCCGCCCAGCTCTCCTGAAGCATGTTTTTCCTTTCCCACCAGTGCTTCCGCCCAGCTCTGCCAGCGCCCGCCAGTCCTGCAACGCCGCCTGCCTTCCAGTCCAGCTCCCCGGCCCCGCCCAGCTCTGCCAGCGCCCGCCAGTCCTGCAACGCCGCCTGCCTTCCAGTCCAGC